GAAAGAAATATCTTGCTGCACAAAGTCAAGTGCACATCCAGCCCCTCAGCTTAACAAAATGCTACGCAAGCCTCCGTGCCTATCAGCGGTGGCTATCAGGTCATTCAAAATAGGAGAACTATTGAAGGATGTTGAAAATCAAGTGGTTATCCAAATGGAGAATGATAAATTTTGAGACAGATCATGCCTACATCAAATACCACACAGAGAAACATCTCATACTGGATACGGATACCCGAGAGACACCAAAAGCAATTAAGTTGCACCAGGGGAGGTTCTGGTTGGATGTTAAGAAGAATCTCTTCTCAGAACGAGCAGTGAGGCATTGGCACAGGCTGCCCAGGGAGGGGGTGGAGTCATCTGGAGGTGTTCAAGAGTAGATGTGGCATTGAGGGACACGGTCAGTGGGCATGGTGAAGGTAGGTTGGGCTTGGACTTGGAGATCCTAAAGGTCTTTTCCAACCTTTATGATTCCGCGTTTCTAAACCATTGAAGACAACACTTGTGGGAGTGGGCAAAATAAATGGAAAACCATTAAAGAAGACAAAAACAGGCTGTCACGTCAAAGCTTTGGAGGATGAAGTGAGATTCAGAGGAGATTGGACATTTTACAGTATCATAAACGTAAGAGACGGAAGGCAGTGATGAACCACCACCAAATGGGTGACAGCTCCTGGAGAAATACTATGTACTAAAATCAATAAAGCCACTTGCAGATGAAGGCATGAGTCACTCGAGCAAATGTGACCAAATATGGCCCAATGTCATTTGTTAGCAGCCACACGTCCCATCCATCTCGCAGAGAGTTCTGCACAAACAGGGTGGCGGTGGCAGAAAAGGGCAACAGTAGAACTGGGAGTTTGGAAGGGCTGCTGACAGAGTACTGAGTGTAAAATTATAGTGTATGAGTGGTCTCCGGGGTGGGAAATTCACGTAAACAGAAGCTCCGTGAGAGCAGCACGGTGCGTTTGGGGAACTGGCTGGACTCCGGCAGGGCTCACCGCTTCTAGTTCGCAGCACACGTACTCAGCTCTCAGCCACCTGACTCCTTCCCGAGCGAGGAGAGGTCAGAGGATGCTTCCTTAGGAGTCGCACAACCCGGCGCTTCTAAGGAGCCGCGTTCGGGCTCCTTCCATCCTGCCGACGACAGCCGCTCCCGGAGCAGCCTCTTCTTTCTCTACGAGTTTCTCCTCGCCTGGGCGCTGCCGAGAAACGTCCCGGCAGCGCAACTTTCCAACTGCCAGTGGAAAAACACCCGGCTGCTCCCCGCCCCTCCCCGGGCTGTTCGATCGGGAGGGGGCCGCTCCCGGAGCGGGGCGGACAGGAGCCCCCCGCACAGCGCACGGCGCTCCTGCGGCAGCTCCATGTTGGCTCCGGGGCGATGGCATCCCCGGCCCCCGCACCCGGGACCCCGGCGGGAGGCGGTCGCCGCGGTAACCGCGCGGCGGGGGCGGCGGGGCTGGGGCGGGGGGAGGAGAGAAGGGGGGACGCCCGGCCGTGCCAGCCGGGGTTCCCTGCTCGGCGCTACGTGCGAGCCGCCGCGGGAGCCCGGGGAGGCGGGGGCGCCGGGATCCTCCCTGCCTCCCTCCCTCCCTCTTTCCCTCCCTGCCTCCCCGGCGGGGCCGGCGCCGCAGCGGGGCGCCGCCGGCTCTGCCGCAGGGAGCGGTGCCGGGGTGGGGGGAGTCGGAGCCTCTCCCTCGGGGCGGGGAGGAGAGGGGGGCGGCCGGGATCCCCCGGCGGAGGCAGCACGTCCCCTTCCTCCTCGGGAGCCCCCTCGCCCCCCAGCAGCCCGGGTCTGGCGGGGGGGGGAGAGCGATGCACAGGCTCCGCGCAGAGCCCCGGAGCTTCTCTACCTGCTACACCGCCGCTGCTCCGCCAAACTGCTGACTTTCCAGAGCTTATTTTTAGCCCGGAGACTAAATATTATTAGCTACATTTCTACGTAGGAAGGATCGGAAGAGGGAGGGGAGGGGGGCACTAGAGAGAGGGAGGCGAGCAGAAAGCTTATCCGAGCCATCTCCAGGCGGGGGACTGCGTTTGGGTTTCAAGCTCGTCAAACACCTCCCCCCTTTCATTTCTAGGGAAGCGGCTGCGGACAAGGGATCGGCAGCGCAGTGCGTCCGGTGCTCCGCTCCGTCGGGGGCTGCACGCACACACACATACACACAGCGCGGAGCCATCGGTGACCCCCGCGCTGGGCACCGGGCGGCTCCATGGAGGTGCAGCTCAGCTGCGTCTCTTTATCTGCGTGAGATCAGCTGTGCACAGTGCCAGCCAGAGCTGAGCTGCAGCTCTTCAGCTATGCAAAATCAACTTCCATCCTCAGCTAGGAAAAAAAACCCGGCGCATCTGCTCATTTCGGTAACGATCGGTTGCATCTCTGCCCGAAGCATGCACACGCAGATCGAGATACGAGATTCCCAGATAATATCAGGCACAACTTAACTCAACTCGCAGTGCAATCTCATAACGCGTCTCCTACCTTTGCTACGCTCCACGCACAGCCCCGCCACAAAGGGAACAAAACTCGGCACAGAGCAGGAACCCATCCCCACAGCACCGAGCGGGAGGCAGAGCTAGAGGGGGGGAGTCACCCCTCTGCTTACCTTGCTCACAGCCAACACCACCGGCAGTGGCTAGATCGCGGAGATAAACACTCGCATTTCCCAAAGTTGACACCGTCAAACCAACCCCCGGAGCTTGCAAGACTCTTTTTTTTTTTTCTCTTTTTTTTCCCTCCCTTTCCTCCTTTTCCTATCGCAGCCCGCGCCGCTAGGAATTCAACTTCGCCCAGCTCCGGCGGGCAGGGAGGGGAGGGGAAGGGAAGGAGGGAGCGAGGGGCGGGGGGGTCGGCGCCGGCTGCCAGCGGCTCCTCTATCCCCGCCGGGCCGCGCAAGAGGCGCGCAGCGGGGCGGGACGCGGAGCCGCCCCCGCCGCCGCCTCTGTCCAGGGTGCTGCCCCGCCGCAGCCGCCGCCGCTGCGCGCCCGCTGCGCGCTTCCTGCGCGGCCCCCGTTGGCGTCACGTGAAAAGCGCGGCTCTGCGCGCCCTCCGCCCGGCCCTGCCCGCGCCCCGCGCCCCCCGCCCGCTCCTCCGCTCCGAGTTCCTCGGGCTTTCCTTCCAGCCCAGAACGCTGGGGTGAAAGTTGCGCCGACCGCACCGCCACCGCGCTGGGTCGGAGCCCCGGGCGCTTAAGTACTCGAAAGCCGAGCCCGTGATATCACACCCTGTCGTTAAGCAACATCTCCAGCTTTTTTTTTTTTTTTTTTTTTTTTCCAGTTATAAAAATACGCTTTTTTAAAAAATTATTATGATTTTTTATAGGTACTCACCATTGTTTCTTTGCTGTCCTGGAGACAGAAGTGTCTTAAAACCTGGTCTCTCCAACAGATGCTGGAAGGTAATGTGTCTTGTTTGAAGTCATCATGTGAGAACTTCTGCTTTGCTCAGTGGATCGCCCACCACTTGGTGTGACTTATGAATCTAATAACCCTTTGCAATATCCGTGAGCTTCAACTCTCCGCCACCTTGGTGCCTACAGAAGACAGAAAGCGACTGGCAGGGAGTTTTAAAAACCTATAGATGTACGCAAACGCCTTAGCTCAGAGTCACGTTTCCCTCCGAGTTCTTACGTGATCCTAATGAATGAGAGGGGTTACCGGCTCGCTCGCTATAAAACGCGCCCGCGGCCGCCCCCGGGAAGCGGGACGGAAAGTTCCCGAGGAAAGCCCCGGCCCGACGCAGCCCCGGCAGCGCTCCTTCCGCCTCCCGGCCCGCAGGGCGCCGTGCCCGTCCCTGCCCGCGGGGCACAGGTAAGTCCACCTGCGGTCCTCCCGCGGGAGCGCTCCGGGACTTGTTGCGCACCCGCGGGGAGCGCGGCACCCTGGCCTGGGCGAGCCGGGCCGAACCCAGCCGCACCTTCCCGACCCGCTCCCCCGGCCCTCCCTGCCGCAGACGTCCCCCGATCCTATCCGAACCCCCACCCTCTCTCCCCCCCCCCCCCCCGGAATGAGGGTCTCCTTCCCTGCCCCCCGCTGCTCCCACTTTCTCTCCGTGTCTCCTCTCCAGGGACCGCAGCCCGGGGACCGCCGCTGCGCCCACCCCAGCCCTCGGGAGAGAACCGCAGCCATCCAGCTCCGGACTTGCCAAACTTCGTGGAGTGCCCCCGGGAGCACAGCAAGAGCCAGAGCCTGAGTTCCTCGCCCTTTGCCATTCCCTCCTGAGCGACTGCTACAGGTGCGTTTATGGGGTGCTCCCCCCCAGCCCCAGCCTTGGGTACCTCCGCCTGGGAGCCAAAGCGAGCAGCCTCTTCCATGACAACCACTTCTGTTGATCCATGCAATAACCAGCAGATGCTGCCCTAAGACTGGTACAGCTGGTATGTCCCTGCCTTGGCTGTCCTGGGGGCAAAGTGGCCAAAGGGAAGCCAGGTGGGCTCCAGCGCACCTGCCTGGAGGAGGACTGCAGGCCCCCTTCACCAACATCACACGCTGCTGTGTGACACACGGTGGGACGAGCAGCTCACGAGGCTGGTGTAAGGCTGCACCCAATAAATTGCCCTGTCACTTGTCACCCGAGACCCATCCTGAGGCAATGATCATCCACCAGGCAGCTGAACTTCCAGCTGCTGCAAGTTCTAGTAGTTCATGTTAGCAGCAGTTATGAAGTCATGTTAGTACCACTTTTTAAACTCTCTTAAAACCACCCCGCAAGCATTTCAGCAGGTGGGATGGCTGTGAGCTGTGTTCTGTCAGCCTTCCAAGCCAACAGCTTCCACCTGTTCCTCAGCAGAGCAAAATCACTGCAGTAATATCTGGTGGGACAGAAAGTCCCACGTGTCATTCGCACAGGTAAGTATTCCAGTCCTGAAAGTTTCTGACTCTGCAGAGTTCTTCTCAGCAGATTTGGGTGGAGACAACTCTACAAAAATACTATATAAATTTTAAAAATCACCTCTACATACTTCTTTTATAACTCAAGGAACTTTCATCTCAAAAGCCATTCCAGCTCCATCATTTGTAAAGAAGTTGTCAATTCAAAGCACTTCTCCCTGCTTCTCATCCCATTAACTTTCAGATAGTTCCATTTTTTATCACAGCTCTCCGTTGCTAGGAATGTCCAGAGGAAAATTTGGCCAGGTCACACCATTCTGATGAGGTAATAGTATTGAACTTACTAAAAACTTGCACAAAAGTTGTCCATCCAGGAAATCTAGGCTGGAACAGGACACACAGCTGATGGGGTTTGCCAATGCTAGAATGATGTCCTGAAATGCTCCTGGGAAACTGATTAGGATAACTCAACACAAGCCCTCCACCTCACTATGATAGACAACTGCTGATGGTCTCAGGGCATCAGACCAAATTAAGCTTAAGGGGTGTTCAACTCTTCATCACTTCCATCATATCAGTCTGAAGTAATTCATGGGTGAGGAAAAAAAAAAAAAAAAAAAGTGTAGTAATCAGGGTAACAAAAATAAAGGGTATGGAAAAACAAAAGGTCATGGGTAGAGTAATACAGGATGCCCAAATGCATGGGAGTTACCTAGCAGAAGAGGAGTCTGTTGGATAAAGCAATCAAAATCCCATAGGGATGCTCACTGGTGACCAAACAGTCCACACTGTTCTGGGGGACCAGGGACAGAGACAGGATGTCAGTGGTCACATAGATACAGCAGGTAAAAGTCACTGCCAGGTCCTTCAGAGAGATTCCTGCAGAAGAAGCATTGAGGAGGGAATGGAGCAGATTAAACCCAGATATTCACTGGGTTTTCCAGCCATTTACTCCTCCTACCTCTCATCCCTGACTCTGTTATCTCTGGAAGAACAGAGATCCCAGGCCATGGGAGATCCAGCCATGAGACACCACTTGTTGGAGTAGCTGGAGAGAAGTGCTTCTCACCTTATCACAGAGGGGCACAGTTATTTCAAAGTCATTCATGTGGCAAGCCATACGCTTCAGTAAAAGTCAGCCCTAGCTCATCAAGTCCAGTCCAAAATTTAAGAGTGACAATCAGGTGTTCTGCTTCCAGGGTGCTGAGACAGCATAGCTGTTGGCCTCTGCCAGAGCTGCGCTGCGCAGGGCTTGCTATGTTCAGGTGGTTCGTACATATAAGGTAATGTACTTCTCTTGTTCCAAGTATGTTTATCTTGGATTTACATTGTTACCAGATGAAGTATACAGCTGTAGGACTTGACTTCAGCGGGACTACTCGTATGTAAATAGTGACAAAACTGTTTAGCAGATGAGGCCTAATTAAGCAAGAATCAGTCATACATTTTCCCCTCTCTCAGACAAAAGAATGTGAAGAATACTGGAGGAGCATTGCTGGAAGGTCCTGGTGCCGTGAACCAACCCACCAAACACAACCAAATCCCAAGTGAGCTGCAAACATTCATTCCCTGGCTTAAAGCACCGGGCAAAAGCAGCGAGCTGTTATTTGTTGGCTTTTTCACATACTTGAAGCGTGCAGCTGGCCGTCCTGCTAAGCACAGGCTGGAAGGCTTTTCACAGCCACCGTGCACTTTCTGCACCTTCAGAGATCATCGGGAAAGCATCTCAAACCCCGGCGCTGGCAATCCGAGCAGAATCAGATGCTAACAGTATCTGTCAACTTGAAGGAGATGCTTCTGAAACAAGAGCCATATTGCATCATCGCTGCTGTGAAACGTGGCTGCCAGCATCTCTACGTGCCAGCACGCTCATGGCGTGCTTGAAAGAAAGGTCCCACGGGGTCGATGTGTGCTGGGTTGGCTGGTAACCTCCTGCCTCTGCAGCAGGCGGGTTTGGCATCGCCTGCTGCTGCCCAGAGGGGAAATACCATCCTCCCAGCATGCTTTTAGGGTTGCCTCCCATAAAGCGCTAATGATCTATGCCTGATTTCCTCCTCCTGCAAATTATCCTGTTCTGATATCTCCATCTTCTCCATGATCTTCGTGCTGCAAACGTTAGCAGTCCCTTCCTCCTCCCTCCCTGGAATAGTTTTCCTTTCTTCCAAGCCCACTCGTCTTCAAACCGCTCCCAATTGCGTATTTTCACGCCGGTAACATGCAGATGAACATCGTAGTCATGATCCCACTCAGATACTGAACAAGCCTCCCACCAATGCTCAGTCCTCCTTTAAAGCACTAGATCGTTACATTTTGCTTTCCGTCTCCTCAAAATACCGGGAAATCCTATGGAGTAGACAGTCTGCATCGAGTGTGTCTCACGGTTGCACCTTAAGGTGGACAGGGAGCAACATGCACCCTGTAAGAGCCATGGGGCGACTGCTTCTCCCCAGCACAGCAGTAACTCGGGAACTTCTCAGAAAGATCTCAAATTGTGGCAAGCTCACCTTTATGCTTGGTGAAACCAAGGGAGAGAACCAAGTGTGGCTTGAGCTCAGCGCCCCTAGGAAAGCTGTAAGTCAGCTAGGTTCCCACCATCCCAGTGCTGGGTGCCTTGGACATTGCAATCATGCTATGAGACAGCAGGAAAGCTGGAATAGTTTTCCTTCGGCTACTTTTGTTATTTATGAAGAAGGTGTGATTCAGGACAACTTCTAGAATTAAACATCCCTGTTCTGTTTTTCTCAGACTACCACTGATGCAAATGCAGTTCAGGCTATATCTCGTCTGCTTGTGTGGCACTCACTTAGGTTAGCTGCAAAAGACAGAAGATGAGATAAATGTAATGGAAACTATTGGCCCACGTAAGTTCTCCTGGATGACCTGAGCAAAATGAGCCACTGGGTATCTCTTACTAGAATAAAACCAGAGATAGGGAGAGAAATCAGAACCTGGAGAAAAAAGAAACATGACAGCCGTAATCTGTTACTATTGCAACCTGATTACTGGGTGCTTTGACATACTGGGGGACACTTTCCTTCTCCAATGAAGAATGCATTTCACTTCATGTAACCCCAGGGGAAGTATTTGCCGACAGATCAACCTTTTAAACTGACTCTCTTCACGTTGTTTACGTTCTTTTTGCTCAAAAAGAGCACTGTGAACTTGGGGGGGAAAAAAAAGTTACCCCTCACCACATTTTAAAATGCTGTTTGGTATAGCCCTGAGTTAGGGGAGAACTTCAGCACTTCCAGAACAAAGGGGGATTTGTCTTAATTGTACTTATAAGTAAAAAGTAAACACACACTTCAGTTCCTTTATAAGCTAATGTTTAAAAGGAAACTATCTCCAAAACTATATTAATCTACTTCTTTGCAGTCAAATACCCTATCAGCTTGAATGGGAGTTCTCTGTAGCAGCTGTGTATTTGAACCTCACTCAGTGTGATGGAGATGTGTTATTGTTAAGAACAAAATAGCTGTCGAAGGAACTATACATGGAGTTAGCTGCCAGCACCAGGAATTAGGTGCGTATCGTGCAAGAATTACTGAAGAGTGCTGGAGAATTCTGTGTAAGAGCAACCCTTGACTTTGTGTCTGCATTTATATGATGAACTTTTTCAAATGTAGCTGCGTTACCTTTAACTCCTCCGTGTGAAAAAGGAAGAAGCAGGATGACAATGGAGGATGATGGGAACAAGGAAACAGCAATGTAGGAGAAAAGCACTCTAAAAGATGATAGAAAATAGAAATGGACTGTTAGGAGGCCACCGCTGGACCAAGGGTAATTAGTAAAGTAATAACCTCCATCCAGGCTCTAGCACTGAGAAAAAAAAGTAAAGAAAGAAAGAAAGAAAAAAAAAAAAAAAACTCAACAAAAAAACAGTTCCCATACCAACTAGACTTGTAATTGACCGGGATATTTTTATCCTATCATTCTGTGACTAAAACGACAAACAAATTCTCCCATGAGATGATATTCACAACAGTCAGGAAATAGTGTTAAAGTTGACCTAAATAAATAAAGCTTTCCCTGCATAGGAATTCCTGCAAGGATCCTTTAACACAAGGTCCTTTCAAAACGCTGGCTGCAAAGTGCATGCAAACCCCTGGGGGCAAATCACCTACCAGACACCACAGCCTTACCATCTCTGTTTGGTGAGGTTGGGAGCTTCAGAAACAGGTTTTGGGGTGAGAATGTAGAGGCCAAGCCAGAGGGCCCCCCCTCCTGCTGGTAGACCTGACAGTCACAGCAGAGACATGTTTTCACAGAGGAAATGTTGTTTTGCAGAGTTATGTGCAGGTTTGAGCTCGGGGCTGTTGGCACACATGAAGCCTCGCATACATTTGTTGTCTGTCAGGGATTTGCATGATGCTCTGTGCATCATGGTGTCTGTTACACCTGCTTAGCTTTTTGATAGGGTCGTTCACTGCTGTTACCGAGAGCAATTCCACACTCAACGTGATGCATCTCTTTCGATGCATTGTTTATTGAGGTGAATTTTATCTCTTGTTCTTAACCATTGTGACGCGGCAGAGTTGGAGTCTGAACTCTTTCCAAAATCAAACCGCTCGAAGATAGGGGCAAACCAGCTTCCATTTCCAAGACTAAGAGCCAGACTGGTATAAAAGCACCATTATTTTCTCTGCCTGCTCACCTTAACGAATCATGGAGTCATTAAGACTGAGCCAAGTCCAACTCCAGCCCATCCTCACCATGCCCAGTAACCATTCCCACAGTGTGGCGTCTCCACGTTTCTTAAACACCTTCAGGGACTGTGAGTCCACCACCTCCCTGGGCAGCCTGTTCCAATGCCTTATCACTCCTTCTGGGAAGTTTTTCCTAATATGCAACCTGAACTTCCACTGGAACAACTTAAAGATATTATCTCTCGTCCTATCACTCATTTCCTGGGAAAAGAGGCCGATTACCACCTTGCTTTTCTCCATACGTTCCATGGGTTGGTGCCTGCCACACACACTGCACATGCCAAGCCTTTGGGTGTGCAGATGTCACTAGGAATCAGTCCACTTCAGCCACTCAAGCCCTTTCATCACCTCTACTAGAGCTGAATTAAATACAATCTACACCTATTCCCTTCCACTTTCTTTTATGATGTGTTCTTCTAGTCTCATTGCTCCTCATAGGAGCTGAAGGTTTTGTTTGTGACCCAGGGAACTTTATTGAAGAAGTATATTCAGAAGTGTTCCTAACGCTGAACAGCACAAAAACTGCATGATTACTTTTAGTGTCTCTCATTGAACAGAAAGTATTTTAATAATCTGAAAGACTCTTCAGTGAACAGCGCTGGATCTGCTCAATTTATAGCATATTTAAATACTTTTACATTGGTACCCCGAGATTGAATTCCAATACTTTTCTTTTGTATCTCTGAGCATTTTAATATGCTTCTGGGAACACTTACCTTTTATGATGAAAACAATATTTTCTAACATAAAGTGGTGATTTCTGCTTAAGTGCAACCATATGTATCTTAGGGCAAGGGCTTTTGGTTCTAAATAACTGCTTAATGTTAAGGATCTTTCTTAATGGAAATGTCACAAAGTACTATATACTAGCTTTTCTTGGAGAAACAAAGATGAAACAGAGGGCAACACAGCATCAATAGTGAAGAATAAATGCTTTGAAGCATGACTGCAAATTGAGATTTTCAGTCGAATCTGTTTAAATTGAGAGATATGAGAAAAATGCAAATCTACTTGATTTAATGAACCTGTTTCTCTTGTATGGGCTGGATCATGTCCTGTTTTAGTTTACCAATCTGATTATTGGTTGATGATCACATTGCTAAATCTAATTCCACAGAACGATGCAAATAATTTATGCGTGAGTCTGGATGTCATACAGTCCTCATCAGTAAGAGCATCACATCCAACTATGGTATTCAATGCAAGGATCTCAGATCCTTCATAAATGTGAACTAATCTTTATGGCTTCGAAGGAACTTTTCATGACAGTCTTACAAAAAGAATAACTGGGGCAGGGAGCACTTAAGCTGAATGCAAATGACTGATTGTTGCAACTCTGAGCAGTTTACCCACAATAAGGTCAAGATTCGGCAGTCCCAACACCTTTTTTTTTTTTTTTTTTTTTAAAAAGAAATATGTAATGACTCTTTCCCCATACCCACTAGATATGTTATTTTGACATTGGCAAAACATGCATGCAAAAGCATTTATGTCATAATCTCAAGCACATGTGCCCACTCCTACTGCATAGCTGCAAAATACTGACAAGGAGCAATGATTAACTTAGGGGTAAAACAATTTTCGTTGTTAAGGTAAATCAGAAGATAAAGTAGAACATTGGCAGAGAGCAGCAATCAGATTTTCCAGCCTGTTTTAAGTCTTCTTGGGCTCAGGGTGCTTTCCCTCAGGCTTTTATCTACCCATGGGTCACAGCGTGATTCCTGTGCCCTGTGCCCGCTCCCGCCCTCGGCTTTTCATCCATCAGCACTTGGGACAACAAGTGGGCCTGAAGAGCTGATGATCTATGCCAATGTTTTCCCATCTTTTATTGGTGACTCATTTTTTATTTATTTATTTATTTTTCTTTTTCATTTTTTTTTTTTTTAAACTCAGCCTGTTTTCTAATGTGAGGAGAAATTAACCCAGATACTAGCAGGGAAAGAAGGTGTGAAGATTCAGATAACTACAATAAAAGTCACTCCAAATTATTTGGTAGGAAAACTCCAGATGACTATCATCATTGTTAGTAATTTCAGTCTCTGAGGCATGCTTGGTTACGTGAGATTGAAATGAAACTTGGCCTGAGGTTTCCCTGCCTTTCAGTGGGTCTGATTGCTCTCTGAAAGATACAATTGCTGTGAAGATGCTGTCTCTCATAATCTCACATTTATCTTATTCTCGGCTTTCTCACAAATCTTTCGACATGCCATGCTTAGGAGTAATCCTCAGTAAATCTAAAGTACGTGGCAGAACTCAGGAGGAAAAATCTGGGAGTGAAATCTAGAAGGAAAACCTTAGGCTGAAAAACAAATGATTAATCGCAAGTATGTAGGTAAGAAGAAAGTCATAGAATACCAGCACTTTTCAATTATTTAAACTTAATCAGCAGCATATAAATCACCTGGCCCTGTTTTGACACCTCCTTCACCACCCAGCCTCTTTCAAAAACGTATTTTGGGTACTGGCCTAAGGAACATTCTCAAAGAGTAGAGCAATGCAAATGACAGCGACAGTAAGACGAAATGGTTCAGTCAACAGTTGCATGGTTAATTAACGATGTATAGCTATCCAAAAAGTCTTTAATGGGGTCTGAATAGCACAGGCTGAACCCTGAGCTGCTCTAGATCAATGGTTCTGTGGGGCCATGCTGCACAGGGCTGGGACATGTCAGCAGGAGGACTGAGGCAGAGCAGACACAATGAAGGAAGCCAGCCTACAACAGCTCAAGCCACTCCAGCCATCGCTTTTCTGTACTGATAATTCAATGGAGCTAATTAAATACTACCTTTTCTGCTTGATCCTTTATAAAAGGTTTTTACTGTGCAAAGTCACTAGTAGAATTTATTCCCTCCACTTATATTTATAAATACATACGGCCCAGAAGTGCCAGCAGGTAGCCTGCTGCTCTCAAGCCCAGCAGCACAGAGGGGTCTGTGCTGACACCCATGTGCAGCAGATGAACCTGATGTGCTAAGCCATATCACCAGCCCTCCCCATCCCAACAGGTACCATTTTGTACCATTTTGTGGCCTGGCTTGCTGCTTAATTGCTGCTGGCCAGGCTCCTCTAGAAGGGAGCAGGGTGGGTGGCAAGGGGCCCATTGGGGACAGTGGGAAATACCATGCTGTTGGGGATATCAGCAGCTGGAAAGAGATGGGGGCCACCAGAACACCTCAGATGTGTGGAGACTGCAGGTGAGAGAAGTCATCTCCAGGTGCTGCCTACAGCGCAGAGCAAAATTCGTGGGAAGAGGTTGAAATCAGAGCCTTGTGCTTGGATGGCAGCCCTTGCAATCCACTCCTCCTCCCAGAGCACTTGAGGCAGTGGTGACACGAGTCTTTCCGGACTTACCTTACAGAGACACAGCCATGCTTAGAGGAGGGGAGGCAGGCAGGGTATGGCTTCTGTCACTGCTGCGTGTCCTTGCTGGTGCCAGGGATGCCAGGCTGCCCTGCAGAGGAGAGGCAGGGTTAGCACCTGCAGGAATGGCATGAGAGCTCCCACTCTGGGGGTTGTGGCTGCACAAAACAGGAATACTGTGTGCTAGAGCAGAAGGCTGGGCAGCATCCTGGCCTGCTGCTTCCCAACCTTTCCAGACATGTACATGAATAACTCATTTATGCACACACATACACTTTTATGTACATGTTAAGTCTGACTACAAAACAGAATGGAAAAGCAATGATATAAAGGATAAGAATCAGAGGTTACAGAACAGCTGACAGAATCATAGTCATTGAGATTGGAGAAGACCACTAGGATCCCCAAGTCTAACTCCAACCCATCCCCACCATGGCCACTAATCATGTCCCTCAGTGTCATATCTACATGGTTCCTGAACACCTCCAGGGACTCCACACCACCCTGGGCAGCCTGTATCAATGCCTCACCACTCCTTCTGAGAATATCCAACCTGAACCTTCCCTGGTGCAACTTGAGGCCATTATCTCTCATTCTATCACTGTTACCTCGGAGAAGAAACTGACCCTCACCTCACTATTACCTACTTTCAGGTAGTTGTAGAAAGCAATAGTTCTCCTTAGTCTTCTCTTCTCCAGACTGAGCAATCCCAGTTCCCTCAGCTGTTTCTGATAGCAACACTGCAGATATGTTATTGCTCAGCTCCAAGAGCTCTGTAAGTTGCAAAGGGCTATCTGAAACCTGCACGCTGTGATGGCAGGGTTGCTACAGGGAGAGCATGGATGGAGCAGTTATCTAGTGTGAGATGGAGTGGAAGACACCAGAACTACTTCAAGTCTCTCACGCTCTTCTATGGGTGAGATCCCTTCCTGTGTATGGCTCCTGCTGTGTTGTGGGAGTAAGCAAGGCTGCAAGAGCAGGACATGAAGCTCCTGGGAAGTATATTTCCTCAACCCTAGCAGAACCAAACCAACATCAGAACACTAAAGCTGACAGCAACAATTTCAAGGCATGATTGTTATTTCTCACAAGTAATTTGTGGCTAGATTTACAAAGGTCTTCTCACTTCTCAGGCCATTGAACTGCACATTGCCCCTGGAAGCAGTTAAGTACTAAGCAGTAAGGATGCTTATTTCTGTAAACCCAGAGCAGTCTGTGGTGTAATAGCCACCATAGCAAACCTTGCCTCCACATCCTACATAGACACAGCCTACACATGGATGCAGGAGCCAGTGAGATGTGGGGGCATACAATGCAAACCTGGATGTTCCAGGACAACTCCAAACCCAACATCCATCAGTTCCCCCAACCCTACCTCCAAGAAGATATCAAGAGCTGCAGGAGCTCCTTACCTTGTGGAGGAGCCAGGTGGCTGAAGTCATTAACACCAGCACAGGATGCACCAGGCAGAGACATGGGAGCAAGCACTCGTGCAGGTGAGCAGACTGACCGATCTGCACGGATATAACGCAGTGGTTGTGCAACACTGCGGGTGATTTACATTCGCTATCTGCAGATAGGGCTGGAGCACGGGCTGCCTGTGGCGTGCTTGCATGCAGACGCACGCACGCCCTGGAGGGAGTGCGAAGTGGGGCCCTTGGATCTCTGTCAAGGCAGTGAATCAGCGGCAGAGCCACATGCGGCACTGGGAGCTACTCGCCAGCTGCTTGTTGGGTGGGCTGGGGCCTGTTAGCTTGTCTGAGCGGAGACAGACATTGGGGACACAGGAGCTAGAGGAGAACAAAAGCACGAGTCAAACTTCAGTGTCCTTTACCTTGACGTGTGGCTTGACGACAGTTTGCAAACCTGCGTGGGAGAACTAAATGGAAAGCATCTATTTTTCTGTTGTGGAGGGATGCTGAGCTCAAAACAAGACTTATTCCATGAAACACAGAGTTCTGTCTTCTTTTTAGTCTTAATCCACCTCCTGCGACACACTCCTCTGCTCAGAACAGCATATACCTTCATAACATCGCTTTCACGCGGGGTAGCATTGCTTTGGTACAGGACCAGGTTCAGGGAGGAAATTGGTTTCTGATACTCAGAATGGCTGTGTAAATGAATGATGAATGAAGACGCAGGTGAGCAGAGAGGTACAGGGAAGAAACTGATGAATAGAAGGGAGCACTGTGGAAAAAAACCAAGGGGTTCTAAATTGCTTACACAAAACCTAGTAGTAATTTGCATGCTTAGTACTAGATATTAACAGCATCTCTCTCCCTGCTGCACCGAAACGTGTTCTATATGCACAAACAAAGGAAAGTGCCAACCACCCAAGCGTTTGTGTTGGTTTTGGAGAACCCCCACATTTAATTTCCAAGCTTAAAAGGAAAAAAGAAACCTGGAGCCGCGGAGATCATTGCTGTTTCCTTCCAGAGCAATTCTGCATGTTTGACATCTTATCTATTGTTTATGTCAGGCAAACAGTGCCTGGACAACACGCAGAGTGGGCTGCAGCGGTAAGGTGGCAAGCGAATGCCTATGAGCTGCTGTGATTCATTGCTCAGAGGAGCTCTCGCTTTAATCACAGAGGACTGGCAGATGAGGGAGGCCACGACGATTTATGACTTTGGGGCAGAGTGACAGCTGTCCCAGGTATCCCAGCTCCATGCTACAAATCAATGCCTTTATTAGAGGGAGACAGCATTAGTGGCGAAGGTTCAGGCAGCCCACGGCCCTCTGAACAAACTGCCGCATGAGAAAGCAAGCCTGCTTCACGCACAGAAAAATCAATCTGACATGAAAGCTTTCCAATGACGGAGGGTGACATCCACAAGGTCATCTCTAGCAAAGGTAATCTCACCTCTTGCAGGGCTTGATGCCCATTTTATCACAGGCATTAAGAAGTGCAGCCCCTGCTGCCTGCAAGCTGTAAACAGCGGTACTCCAGGGAGCATCCCCTGGCCTGCCAGCATCCTGGGGTGCCCACAGCACTTCACTGCTCTACTTTCCAGCCCTGGCTACATCCCTTTGTCCCACCCTCTGCTTGCGTTCACATTATGCTGCGTGGAACAGCCCAGCGCTGCCCCAGCGGCCGCACAGCAGCTGGGCCCTGTCTGGGAGCAGCCAACATACCAAAAGGAGCATTCCTTGAGAATGTGCAGCCAGAAAGCACATCTAGAAATTAAAGGCTCTGCAATCGTGCACACAGGGAAAGAGCTTCCTTGTCTGCATGCCTCAGTCTCTAAATTCTCAAAGTGGAAAGGCTGAAAATTTGTTCACACAATCAACGCAAGGCTTAAGCTGGGTGTGAAGCATTAGTGCTGGCAGCATCTCTGGCCTGGCTCTGCCTAGAAATAGCAGGAAGGTACTGAGGAAGGATGTCCCCATGGGCCTTTCCAGCCCACAACATGCCAGCCAGGCCTGCTCCAAGGACAAGCCCACACAGAGGCTAAAGTGGCCACCACAGTGCCCCACCAGCAAAGGGTAAGGCTGGTCAATGCATCCATATCTGTAGCTGTTGTAAAAGATGCAAGAACAGCCCAAATAATCTAATGGGAGCAAAGAAGGAGCTCAGAGCCTTGCTTCTTGACTGGACAGCCTGCAGTTATTGCAGAGAGCAAAGCCAAACTTTAGGTTGTGTTCACAAGCCGTTGCTTGTTTTGTCATCACAAAATGTAATGAAAAACACATTTAACTTAGAGATCATCTGTTGAGCTGAGCATTGTACAGAGCAAGAGACACTTCATGCCTCCAAAGCAAATCCCAGACACTGTGTCTGCAGAGGAGGAGACACGATGCCAGGCAGCAGTGGCCCACTAGGCCTCCACCACCCTCTTATCCAAGGGGTGCTCAGGAGAAGGATTTCCAGCAAGCCTCCCACTTCTGCTTTCACTTCTGCAGGAGGTCGCTTCCACCCACCACGTGAGCACCACAGAGCCTCAGTTCTTAGGGCATCACCAGAAGGATGATCACTCACTGATAGAACAGATGAGCCCTGTCATCCAAAACATCAGTGTGGCTATAAGTCAGAGATCAGAGAAGAAAAGCAAAAAATATTTTGCCACTTACAGAACAGAGATGTCTACCAAAAAACGCTTAAAGTTTCAACAGGAGTGTGAAGACTATCATCATCTTTTTCTAGAGAAGTTTATCATTTTCTTTGGAGAACAAGTTCCTGTAGCGTTACTTCTGTATGCACAAGATGACTGCGTACTCAGCTAGTTCCTGCACTCTACATGTCTCCAGCTGAAAGGTCACAGAAGACGAAAGGATGACTGAGCACTGCAAAGAGAGGAAGGAGCACTTGATGCTGTTGGGGCACTGCTGGTGACATGGTGGGCCGGAGGGAAGCTCTGCCAGGACACAAAGAATCCAGCAGCTCTGTTGATGGAGACCCCCCTGCCAGTGTTTCAACACTGGAGGGCTGTGAATAAGCAGCTTCAGGAAACAACATGTTCCAAGACCTGACAAAAGAGCATTTCTAACATTTCAATAACCTGGGAGTCAGACATTTTTTTCAGCTTTGGTCACTATTTCAGTAACATACTTCAGATGTTTTGCTTCGCCTCTTAACTCCAGAGCCAGCACACAGCATAGCCAGACACTTGCAATATGCAGCATCACGGACAGACACCAGTAGAGCACTGCATATACAATGGAAAAAATGCAGTGGTGACAAATACACATCTATATATACACGCACACATATTGACATTCAGGTGGGCATGCGCAGCTGGGGTTTTCAAGGCTGACATGTTATTTACTCTTCTCCTGGCCTCAGAACACTTTCCCTGGAATTCAAAATCGGTGTTTCAGATGAGCCTGGAGCAGGGAATTCACCGACTGTGAAGCAACTCCGACAGCCTGCAGCTCACCCGGTTTCCCAGCTGACACAAAGCAAACACCACCTTCATCTATAGGCCAATATAGTTGACCTTCGCATTTCCTAGATAAACGCTCAAATAACAAGGAAGGGAAGAGCAGGGAGGATTCAGGGAGAAAACAGTCCGTGCACAGCTCTGTTGAGCTGCCTGGTCGCTACGCCCTGGCATGGGGGTGATCTGGGAAGCTTCTTGATGGATTGCATGTCAACTGTGAGAGCTCGCTCTGTGCTCACCAGCACAGAAAGCAGTCCTGAAGATTCCAGAAGCTAAAGCCATGACACCCGCCAGGGAGAGGAGCACAGCCATCCTGCTACCTGTCTGGCCAGCATGGAGCCTCAAAGCCAAGCATAGCTCATAGCAATGTCATTTGTGCAAAACTCTGGCTAGGAAGCAGCAGCTGGTGCCTGGCATACGGTGAAGTGCTTGGCTGTGTGCTGGCAAGCACACCTGTATGTGGGGCTCCCAAATGCCCTGCACAGCTCTCCCCATCAGGCAGCAACCCTCACAGCACAGAGAGGGACTGAGGGTTGAGGAAGCATGGTGTGTTCTTACCTGAACAACTTAATCATAAAACAGCTGGGAAGGAAGTCAGTACGACTTGGGGTTCCATTTGCAGGCATGCAAATATTACTGTAATTTGATTAATCTTTTTTCCCCTTTCAATCATCACCCATCATCTAGGGCACAAAGCAGAAATGGTTTTGGCCTTCCTTCATTAGCTACGTTAATTTTTAATTGAGAGCTATACTCTTACCATGACAACCAAGGAGATGGATAGATTTGATTCTAACTTCATTCAAGCATCCTCTGACTGAGCTTTGAGTAGTTTGTATTGGCTGGGACTAAAATACAAAACAATTTGTCAAATGTGCTCCCCACTCAGAGTATTTGCGCACCTTTGCATAGAGAATCTCCCCTCCCCCCCCATTCAATCCTCACTAGTTGCTCTGATCCCCATGCCGCTCACAGTGGATAGATACAGAGCAAGCTGCATTGAGTTGAGCCCCGTGTCTTAGTAACCATGGCAGTGCGTGGCTTCCTTGCCTGAGGTATAAATTTTCCACTGGTCACACCTGTGGCCTGAGGGAAGGAGCTGTAGGAAAGCAGGTCATTAACTGAGCAAACACAAAATGATGCCGTGAGGAAGCACTTGGCAGAGACACAGCCACACTCCTGCTTTCCTGTGACCCTAGCAGCAGGGGCACTGCCTTCACACTCCAGCCCCATGGGCAAGACACTGCAACAGCCTAACGCGGCCAGGGCAGAAACATAGGCTCACATTGCCATGGCTCAGGGTCACTGCTGTTTGAGTTTTTGGGGCTGAAGGGAGTTGTCTGACGGCAGGGCCAGGTATGGGGCAGACCTGCGAGTGCCGGTCTCACCACCTTCCTCCTCCTCTTCCTCATGGCAGACGCTGGCTGAGCTCTGCAGGAGCGGGGACACACGACTGAGCGAAGCTGTGTGCGGGACCGGCCCCCATGACTGGGGCTAAATGAAACACTTCTCCGTCTGGCATATCACTCCGTTTCCCACGGATGGCACAAATAGTCACTGTGCGATGTACAAACACCGGGGATCTATTATTGGCACCTCTCCTTTGCTTGCCATAGTGACGTCCAACCCAAACGCAAGTGTTAATGCCCTTATAAGGCTCCTAGCACAAATTTAAATTTTTTATCCTTTGGCCGATGATACAAACTGCAATCTCAGTAGCATACGGCATGGGGAGGTGGGAGATTTTCTTGGCTCTGTGGTGAGAGAGAGAAATTAAAAAGGAGCCTACAATGCTGAGTCACTGTGACAAATAACTTACTATGGCATACATTCAGGGTTTAGCAAAGAGGCAGCTGAGAGTGAGTCAGTGACTGACTAGTGCCTCCTAGATTTTCCTCCTTGGGAAAGATTCAATTTAATGTAAAGAAGAGATGGCAAAAGTATTTCTCAGTGTTACCATTACCAAGTTGCTATCGCTAATTATACACGTGGTTAAAACCATCAAGTTCCATTGTATAATACACGCCTTCTGTTTGGTATATAACATCACCCATTGTGGAGCAGTAAGAACCATTACGAGTACTGGTTTTGAGATACAGAAAACTTGGCCAAACTTCAAGCATTTGGCAGCGTCAATTCAAGCACCTCCCCTCTTTTGGTTGCTCAGCTTCACAGTCTTATCCGCATCCTATTTAGCACTCTGGTCTGTAGCACCATTTACACCAAAATAGATAGTTTTGTGATCAAAAAAGACCAAGTGCAAAATGGATACATTTTTGTGGAAGAACGTGTAAGAAGGTCACAGTCCACCAAAACACCTAGTCCCAGTAAAGTCAAATTTGCATGTGCTGAATCACAGCCAAAGTTATTCTTGCGTCATTCTGATTTTGATGTTTCTAACCCCCTTCTCCTTCTGCTCAGGCAGACAAGTTCTTGCCCAGCACCCCAGATCTGGGGAGGAGAGCAAGAAGCAGGTCTGCATGATATCCTCTCCCCCAATCCCAGGTCCCATACCTGCCCATGAGAGAGCAGAAACAATAGAAAGAGTTTCCTGTCAGGAAGGGGCTGTTTGCAGCTTTTCAGCTATCTGTACACCCCCCTTTCCCTTCCATCTGCTGGTTTAAAAAAAAACAAAACAAGGCAGTTCTGCCACCAAAGAGCTAGGGGCTGCAGTGAGAGCTGCACCAGCCAGCATCTCTCCATTTATGCCTTGTTTCTCCTACCTAGAGAGATATCGCTGGGTAAGCCCTGAAATTCTTCAGATACTATGCTAATTTTTACACAATGGGGAAAGAATATAACTGCTCCCAAGTAGACCACAACCAGCTGGAAGGAATTTCCTATCACCTTCTTCCATATGAGCCACAGGGTTCAGCCTGGCAATGGAAACATCTTGCCTCAAGTAATTCCAGTTGGGATGCTGCAGTCAGGCCATCCCTTCTGAGCAGAAATAAAGGCAGAGAATAATCCATTGTTCACTCAAAATGTTAATTAGTGAGTGAATTATATTCGTTCTGTTCCCATTTGAAGACTGACTGCTGAAGGAGTGTAATTAGATAGTTATATCTGTTGTCTAACTTATACGAACTACAGTGGTCCAGTTGCTTATGAATGAGTTCATAAAGCTGGTCGATTATTTTTACATGATGCTTTTGTTTGTTTCTTAAACAAAAATGTCTTTCCCCCTTCCTAAAACAAACCTTTCTTGAAAAATAGTGATATCATCGACAATTTCACGGTCTTTTTTTATCTGAGTGCATCTCTTTCCAATTGTGAGACAAAGGGCTTCCTTATCTCCACCACAGCCTACCAAAGGCATTGCAAACCCCACGAGGAGAGCCCCCAGCATGCCCCAGAGCTGCTGTGTGATCCTAGCCAAGAGGGTACAGCTGAGATCCCCAGAGTCTTAAGGAAGAATTGGCTTTAAAGATCACACACCGACCCTGCTTTTAAGAGCAGCAAATCCATATAATTTCAAAGAAAAAAAGCACTCGTGTTTTCCTTCATGCGTCTGTGAAGAGCGGCTCTCAGATCTGACCTTTCCAAAATGCCTATCAGTGATCAGCTGTAAAACAAGAGATCTCTGTAATATTTTTCTAACGCAGAGTGAACAGCAGCCAACTTCCCATAGAGAAGGAGGAGGATTTTCTCAAACTAATTTTATTTCCTTATCTTTAGTCATCTGCTGAAAAGAAAACACTAAATATATTCCTCAGTCTACTCCTTCCAGTGATAGCTCGAAGGAGTAAAGAACCATATGCTCCTTCAGCTGATCCATACTGTCTCCATGACAATGCAGTTTACAAAGTTTGCTCCTGACAGCTCTGTAGTACGTGCTTCAGCTGCTCACATTTTGGGGCATGAGGATGGCTGGCAGTGGTGGCACTGGTGGCTGCCACTGCAGTGCTTGGGCATGTACTTCTACCCAGACCTCCCAGCCCTACCACCAGTGCTCACCAGCGAGCTCCAGTTCCAGTGGTGCAGCTCAGCCTGGAAGCTGATGCAGCCAGTCCCTTCAAATTCCTTACGAGCTTTCGTATGTTCAATGCCTTAAAAGGAGAAAGGATTTCACCTCATTTTAGCCAATCAGAAAAATCTTGGTGAATTTACACAGAAAAAAAAAAAAAAAATGTGTTCTCCTCATTAGAGTGCACTTGGCCTTTGGGTAAGGTGAATCTCCTGGATCCTCCCAGGATCAACAACAGAGCCAGAGCTGGAGTTGTGCCAGGTCTTTCCTTTATACTCCTCCAATCCCTCCACATCCCTGTTTCATTTACAACGTACCACACAGTGATAGCATAGAAAATGGACTTTACCTTCAGCCAGCTCAGGCAGGACACCCAACTTATTGACTGCTGCAGTGGACAAGAAACGTTTTTCTATGATGTAACAGAACAGAAGCATTCAGGAACAGGCTGCGTCTGAGCTGCAGGCCATCAATTGGCAGCCTCCACCTCAACAAGTGCAGAAAGACGTGATATTGTTATTTTCAGAGCCTGTGTATCTCACTATTCCCCAATCGGCACAATAGCTGTCAGCACTCCTGTTTTGAATTTCACACATTTGCTTGATCAGAAACCAACAGAAATACATAACTGGCTGTGGTAGAGCATGAGATTCAGTCTTTTCTCATCAAGGAGTTACCCAAGATGTGTGTCGCAGATCAGGTTGTCTCTATGCAATCACTTCTAAAAGCAACCTCAGTACGTAGTTAAGAGCAGAAATAAAAACTGCAGCTGGCTAAAACTGAGAAAGGAAAAAAATATATATATACACACACATATATATATACACACGTACACACACAAGCCTGACACTCATTTTGAATTGTCAGGGTAAAACATTTGAAAAATAAGTAAGTTTTAAAATCTCTAGGACACCCCCCATCCCTGTAGAATGGCCTACACAGCTGAATCCCCATAGGTTTGCCAGCTGTTTTGAATTCTACCAGCCTAGCACTCAGCAGCCAGAAGCTTAATCTGCAATCCCTGCTACCCTTTGGAGCATGGAGCCCAAGAAGGACCCTAGGGCTGGGGAGAACAATGTTCACACCTTCAGAGAGGCCAGACCTGGGACACAGCTCACAAGATGTCTCAGCATTCCTTTGACATATACAGATACATGCCAAGTTCTAATTATGCTTGACTGTCTTCTAGAAATTCAAGCTTCTATCCCCCCTCCTCCTTGAATATGCCAGATCTCTTCTGAATTCTATTTATGAGCTGAAAAATGAAGGCTTGTCTAATTAGAGATGATTCTCCTCTTATTCCTTCACCCCCCCATACCAAGAGCTAAGACAACTTCTGCCAAAGAGGACTCACATCTCGACTAGTTCCTAGCATTATGCAGTGGAACAAGTTTCCACAGAGAATGAAGAAAGCTTGGAGTCACAGCTTCCTTTCAAGCCTCTGAAACCCATGGATTTATAGATACTTGGCTCCCCAGCACAAAATACCCCTCTTTGGGGGGAATAAAGAGCTAGGGCTCTGCTAATCTCTCCAGTTAGAAGGAAGAAACATGGGACCCAGCCTGCCACAAGCTTTGAAGGCACTACTCAAAGTTACTTGGTGCCTTTGGAGGCTCCCCAGGGACTGGCAACATAAAGGATTTAATGTGCACACCCAAACATCAAGCAAACGCTGTCTATTAAGAAGTTTAAGGGGAGGAAATGCTTTCCAGGCACAAAAGCCTTTTCCATGGGAATCGCTGCTCTGTAGGATGTCAGACACATAATGCTGGTGCCATAAATGTCACTTTCCAGTAGTTCTCATTCAGAACATATATGATTGATGTCTAGAAAAGCCAATGAAATATGTATTCCTTTTAATTATCCTTAGCCCTGCCACTTTCTCCAGGGCTTTTAGGAACATACTTGAGGAGGATCTTTGAAGACTCGTGCAAAACCAAACTTTTTGGCTTTGAAGGCTGGGAATATCTTAGAACTCACCACATCTCACCAGAGGGCAAGAATGGAACTCAGCCCTGGGAGATAACACTTGCATGTGCCTGGCACTGCCCTGACTGGAGGTGCAGGGACAGGCATGGCCAGGAGCTTACCAGGCATCTTTGCCAGAAAAGAACCCAGCCCAGGGCCTGATAAAACAAACAAACAAAATATCAGAACACGTACAAGAGTTGCTCGCTCCCTGCTGGGTAATTCATATCAGATGCCCGCAGATAGGTGGTAAGGGACAACAACAATTCTGAAGACCTCAAAGTCTGGAAAGGCAATTTGGACAAAAAAAATACTCGTGTCCTCATTCTGCAGGGAGATTAATTGGTTTTATTTAACTGCCTCTAGCTCTCTTCAGTCAATAGGGAGAGTTAGATACCTCCAGTGGATGATCCAAACCAAGAGGGATTAAAAACCCTGAAGTTGTCCCTATACAAATCTTTAGACCGCATAGGAAACTTAAAGTTATGGGCTTCTTGGTTTAGCTCTGTTCATTAAATTAATGGTTATCAAGTTTGAGTTAGTGGTTCAGAATGCACCAATGCTGGGCTGTAAGTGAAAACGTGTGCCTGGAGGAGAACTTGAGACCCTCCTGGAAAACCAGGTCAAGATCCCTATAGAAGTGACAACAAATGGGAATTTTTGCTATATTACTTTCACATTTTATGGTCACCAAGAAGGTTTTCCCCGCCTCCTTGTTATCCTACTGCCTGGAGTGGGCTGTTTGTCCCCCCAGCAGAAAATAAGGAGTCACAGCAGCAGCAGAGGGTGTGGGGGCAGATGCTTTTTGGGCATCAGAACTGGCAGTTTTTAGAGCCTCCGAATGAGTAGGCAACCGTGCTGAGGCTCTTTCTCCCACCACAAATCACGAAGCCAAATATCTCAGCTGCACGGCATGTCTGCAGGAGCTCCTCCTCCAGTACTGGCTTGTGTGGGAAGGGCTCTGCTGGCACGCAGCTCATCTGAGCACTTGCGTGCCTGTGGACAAGATTAAGGCAAGCCTCTGTGCACATTCAACATACATGGGCAAAGTCCTCCTTAGAGCCTGCCTGGCTTCACAAGAGCAACCTGAAGCACTCTTAGCATTGGGACCACGTGCAACCAGCCAACACTGGATGCCAATGCTTGGGAAGTTCCATGCAGGAACAGGAACACATGGGGACTGGGGTACCAGAGAGCAGAAGTTTCCTTTTTTTCCTCCTCAGAGGGAAAAAAATTGGCTAAAGGCAGTAGAAACAGATGTACTTATGTATCCTATACACTATAAAAGAAAGGCCCTTCCAGCAAAGCAGATGGGTTTAAGTGCCATTTAAAGCAACTTCTGCTTCACCCAAGGAAGCCTCACACAAGCTTTACATGTGGGCTACACAAGTATTTTAAACAAAAAAGTCTCTGGCTACAAATCTCTAGCATCACATGAAGCTTTCCTTGATGAAAGCTCAACGAGTGGAATCAAGGAACACAGCCCCAGCACCCCCAAACTCAAACAGTACCCTTGACTTCAAACTTCCTGGGAGCAGAGCACAGTCCTGCAATGATGCTGCTTCCTTTTCTGCTAACATCTGATACCCTAGCCCTGGAGGGACACATTTTTAGGAACATGTAACAGCATGGATTCATTACTTCTCATCAATTGAGAGGACCATTGCAAAAGCGCATACGTGTCTATCACCATCATTTTAAAGACCATTGTGCATACACAAAAGGTGAAGATAATTCCACAAGTGAGCCACCACCCAAACAGATGTTGTCATGATAGATGTCATGTCTATGAACTTTTCAGTGGACAGAGTTGAGCCATAGGTTTAGCCTCACATACCTTGCTCCACATTAGTTTTCATCAGGGATCAGAAGAATCAGAGCAGCCCAATATGTTTCAGAAGCTTACCTTTTTCAGCCTCTTTTTTTTTCCTTTTACAATCATGTACTACAGACTAGAGTCATAACCAATGTGTATTTCAGGCCCATGCATGGGTAGGAACACAGAAGATGGGTAACATCTACTTCTGTTCAAGAAGAAGTTGCTAAACACAGAAATAAGTGGAGTTGTTTTCTCACATCCAGTCAAAGCATGACTTAACAGCCAAAAGCTCAGTAACACAAAGCAGTAGAAAAGAAAGAACACTGAGCCTTTGTTAGACTGGTCAACGTAGGTAGGTGAAAGATGAGCTTGAACAAGGTTAGAGAGCAAAATGTCACGAGCACCAGATTCCAGGAGAACCAGAACTGGTTTACAGTGCTAAACTGAGGAAAGCACACACAAGCTACAGCTGAACAGAAAGACAGAGCAGAGTAAAGCGTTTTTAAAAGAAAAAAAATAAAGCCCTAAGGAAAGAGAAGAGTGACTCAAGACAAAAAGCTCCCAACAGTAAAAGAAAGGCTGCAGCTTTAGCTCATTGCTTAAACCAGTGTTTGAGAAAAAAAAAAGCCTGGTACTGACAGAAATAGGACCTGCTCAACATACCTGCTGGTGGCTATGCTAAAAGTACTGAAGGGTCACATCTTCTGCAGAAAAAAAGCATTCCTGCTAGAGTGCTGCTCCATCTTCTCACATGTATGAGTGTCCCCACCACCAGCACTCATTTACTTCTGTCAACAGGGTACACTTGAGCCTTTTCCTGTGAGCACTTACACCTGTTCCCTGTATAGGTGGTGATGGTGCTCACACTCTTCTGAGTTTGTCAAGTAGTCTAGGGATCAGCTGGCCCTTTATGAGCCACAGCTGGTAATTGTTCCTGCCTTCTGGGTACCCCACCTGCTCAGCTTCAGATCTGCCCCATTCAGAGTCCAGTCTCACAGCTGCCAACAGGTTGGAGTGAAAAAAAAACAACAATCAACCAACCAACCAAACAAAAAAAACCCAATGCAGTGTTTATGGTTAAGAGAGATGGAATTTTTTTGCAGTTGTGAGTCCAAATATACTTACCTGTTTGCTTATGGAATCTGCAGTAGTAGATGAGAATGTAGCTTAGGAATAGGCATGGATGAGTTGACAAAACTAATGAAGCTAAAATTTTTTATACATTTCAGAGCAAAAAATGCAAGAAAAAGAGATTTCTGGAAGAGGTTCTTTTTGTTTTTGAATTTGTTTTTCTTTAAATGAATGTATTTTAATTTAGCAACTTCCTGTATGAAAGCATAGACCCCTTCTGTTGTGCAGATCAATGCAGCTTGTTCTAAGATACTCTGTTTTGATCACAGATGAGTTTGTACAGGTGTAGCTCTTCTCATCCCAGTGTAAATACTCCTGATATGCACCTTTCAACAATATGACAAAGCCTGAGCTGGGACTGGCTCCTCAGTCTCTTTGTTGGCTTTAGAAAACAGTGTAAACAGCTTCGCTTGGTTCTAACAGAATAGGAACGTGCAGCAGAGTTCTTTTAATGCGTGTGCATTGTGATATGCAATTCTGAAATGTGCAAATAACCACTCCTTCAAACAAACTGGAAAATCATTACTGAGAGGGTATAGGACAGTGGTAGAGCACAGAGATGAATGCGCTGTACTTAGTGCAAGCTTAAAGAAAATTAAATAATTCAAATGAACAACAAACTGGAATTTCACCAGCTCAGTGTTTTATTCAAAAGGAAGAAAATGAGGGGTGGTTAAAGTTGGTATCAGGGTAATGTAGAAGTTCCTAAGGAAAGGAGAGGAAAAAAAAAACAAACATCAAGGACATTCACAGTAGAAAGAAGGAGGTGTGAAACAC